AAAGTTGCCAAGGTTGAGGAACACTAGTCTAGATAGAAGCAAGACTCATTACTCTTGGGACTTGAAGGGAGGAGTTGTCACTTGCTGGATTGTGTCACAAGGAATTAAACACAACTACACTTTATTTCATCTGGGCAGTTTGCAGGACAATGCAAAAAGGTAAAAATGCTTGTTTTTCTATGCTCCACTTCCTTCTACTCAAGAGCTGCACCAAAGCAATGCATGACAGGTCTACAGACTGGAAGCATCACATTGAGATCATTTTTCTTATCCGTTATCTCCTTCCTAATTCTTTTTGGCAATAAAAACCTCTGGGATTTCTATTTCTGAATAATAGAAATAACTACAGCTACGCATAAACGGCCTTTCAGAGTTCTCCACCAAATTTGCAGGCAGAAGAATTGAGCGGATGATCACCACTGAGAAGCTGATGCTGTGATGAAAGGCAAGTCATTCAAATGCACCTCCCTTGGCCATCGGGTCACTCAGTAAATATTAGAATTCTCCATTCTACTTGAAAGAACATGTAAAGCAAAACATTTTTCCAGCGCTATACTTTGGGAAGTTGGGGAACCAATGGCATTTCCACACATAGGTTTGGATCCAGTTTGAAAGCAGCTCAAGGCCTCTATGTTCCCATGATGTTGGGTGCTTTTAATAATTTATTTCTGGCTCTGTTGTGAGTAATTGAAGCCACAGTAAAGCTAGTTAAACATGATGGCATGGCGCTGAGGAATTTCTGAGCAATCCAACTCCTGTATTTGCAGGAACTCTTCCCCTACCTTAGCTCTGGGCTCCCCGTTTTTCTAGGGGACAGGGCAGCATGGGAAGATTGTAAATAATTTATTTTATTTTTCCTTTGCATGGAATCAGGTGAAGGGACTTTTATTACTGCAGGATTCTTATTACTGTGGCAGGGCAAGGATTAAATTTCTGCCTGCTTGCTTGCTTGCAGAATTGCATATATCTTGAAATTTTGCATGGTGCCAGGACGATTTTTTTCTGCAGTGCTCAGACACTATACTTAACTTGCTGACTAAATTAATTTCTGTGTATGTATAGTACATTGAACCGTATGCAAACTAGTGGCCTGACAACATGCTAAGCTACACATCACAGCTAAGCAGTTTAGGATATTTTGCAAATACAGCTTCTAAGTTTGTAACTGAGCATAAAGAACTTAATTTAATGACTTTCAGGTTTAATAGTCCACATTTGAGTTCACTGACATGTTGCACACAACATCTTCTAATTCCAATGGCCATCTGAACAATTGGCATAATTTACATAATTATTTTTAAAAATGTAAAATTACACAAATGATGAAACTTTGGATTTCAAAGGTATGTCTTTGTTTCTTTATTAGATGTCTATCCCACATTTTTCTCAAGGGGTCAAGGCCGCCTCCACAGGGTTCCTTCCTTCTGTTTTTCTCCACCACAGCAATCCCACGAAGAAAGTAGGGCTGAGAGACAGAGAGACTGGCCTAAATTCATTTTTGTGGTTGAGGGTGGGCTAGAATCAGGAACCCTTGGATCTAAAGCACATCCCTTCAATCCAAGTGGTCAATTAAATTGAGGTACTACTGTATGAGCAAACCCACCCAATAAGCCAGTTGCTTCAGGAGAGATAAGGAGAACTTTGTCACCCAACACATGTTCCCTTATTGAATCTCCAGAAACAAGGTGCAACTAGTTTAGATAGTTAGGGGCAGGTCTCAGGAACATCAGTTGTTCCCAATTCTGAGCCACATCTGCAGATCGTAAACCCTTCCCAGGTGGCTCCCTCTCCCAGGAGATGACAGAGTCCTAACCCAGTCTTAAGCAGGTCCATAACGCTTTGCCAGGTAAGACAATCTCTAACCATCTCTGAAGCTTCTAACGTAGGGAAACAGGCGTACCCTGCATTGCCTGCCAGAGGTTGTGACACACTTGTCATGGAAAGGGCAGCATGGAATTTGTTAAATGGCTCCCTTGAATCATAGGAGTTTGATAAATCATGCTGTTCCTTGGAAAGAAATCAGCAGGAACTCTTCAGTCTTTGTGGTTGTTGCAGAGCGCCCCTTCACACATTAATTACCCTGCTTGATCTGCACACATGACGTATGTTGAGTGAATACAATTTAAGCCACCACAGGATCAGCCCTCTCTCAATAGAAAGCATTCCTCTTGAAGCCTTCCATCTGCTAACATTTCTGCACCCTGCATTCCTGTTGAAGACTATTTTAATCTTTAGGGATTATTTTTAGTAGCATTCTTGTTTTTGTGGAATCTGCAGTTAAACGATGCCCATAATTTTTCACAGCCTCGCATGGCCAATCATTCTAGTCAGTAGGCAAACACATCTTCAGCAGTGGAAGGCTTCAGCATTATCCCATGTGCCAGGAAGAGAGTTTCCTCAAGTTCCTCTTTTCAGCAGGAGTTAATCTTGACTTTGGACGAGGACCAGAATCACAGCTAGACAGAGAAACCACACAGCAGTCAAGAAAACCCTATTTTCCTGGAAAGGGAGCCTGGTGAAAGACAGAAGACGTGATTCCTGCAGCCTCAGACAGGTAATTTCAGGGTCCAACCCAGGATACCACTCCTTCTTGGTGGCTGTGTTTCTTGCAGCACCACAATACTGTCTCTGTCTCTATTGTTTCTGGATGTGCTTGATTGTCAAAACCAGAGGAATGTGTTTTGATTTGCTCTTGAGAGATGGGTTCTCCCTGGTCACCTTTTTTCATGTTTTACCGGTCTTACACTTAGCGGCACCCAGAATTGCGTACTCTCAGTCTCGTGGTTTTGCATTACAACATCTATGTTTATGGTAACCAGGCGCATTGCATTCCGGTGTGATTTTGTTACATGGTTTTAGCAGCTGGCTTGGACTGGAAAACAGCTTGACTAGAGCTAGGTGTACTTTCTAATAGTGATGCCCTTGTGGGAAAGAGCTAGAGCTTGGTGGCACCATCCAGTTGTGTAATGTACCCAAAAATGTGGGCCATTTCCTCTTCAAAAGGAGGTCAAGTAGCGTACTTGGAATCCCAAAGTCAGATAAAATATTTTTACCATTCCCTACTTGAGTCCACATCTTTTTCTTTTTTTTTTGAAAAAAGGATGGAAGATCTTTAATACAGGGAGTCCCCGGGTTCAGAATACCCGGTTTAAGGATGACCTCCGATTAAGAACAGTGCCCATGGTACCAAAATTCAAGTTAAATACACAACGGTTTGAGTTCATTACAAATACTACTTATACAGTATTATACGATAATACTGTTCTGGCTTTTTTTTTTATTTTAATTTTTAATTTTTAGAAGCATTGGGTGCTACAGCTGGACATTTAATGTAATCTCTATGATGTAAGACATCTGCTGCTCCAGAATTCCTGATGGCCATCCAGTCTCTGATTTGAAATCTTTGACCTGGGAGAAGCTGTTACTTTCTAAAACAGCCTGTTCCACTGGAAAACAGCCTGCACCATCAGCACTTCTTTTTCTGCCCCCACTGGGAAATGCAGAAGTAATCTAGGTGATATACAGGGGGATGACACCCCCATTCTTCCTTCCTCCTTTTGACCCTGTTTGGTGATTCTCCCCATCCCATAACCTGGGAGGAAGGGAGATTCATGACAGAAAGGAAGACAACCTGGGCGCATGTAAGCATGTAAGCGCCAATCTAAATCTGGATCAGTTCAAAAAGAAAATATTGCCCAATGTATTTTTTTTTTAAAAAAAAAAAGCTTGTTTCCAAACAAATATAACCTGTGCTTGGGAAGCATTCCCTTGTCACTAGTTCATAGAGGTGTTGAAATTCTACCACCTAGTGATGAATTTTGAGAGCAGCACAATGTGAAAGGCTGGGAGAGAGAACATGCATGTTCTGAGTGATTTTCTTGCTTGCTGTGGTGGAGAATAATTTGCCTCATTCTCTCTGATAATCTAGAGGACTCTTTTCTTAGCCAAGGGTCACACTTAAGGACTTCCATCCCAAAAGTTGGGCAGGGCAAATAAAAAAAAAAAAGCAGGCAAAATCAGGACAAAACACAACATTTCATTTAAACTTCCATGGAATTGCAGACAAAGACTGAAAAATAAACGCAATTAATATTGTGATTCCTGACATATTTAAGATTACAGTTCAGCCGTAATATTTAGAAGGGCTTGTAGGGGGAAAGGAGAAAGTACTACAGTCCCCACTGAAGATGACAGCTCTTCATTAAGCCAGAAGTGATCTGTTGCCCCTGCTTGTCTTGACATGTCCCATCTGCAGTGTAGGAAAATCCTGTTTCAATGCATGCCTTCCAATGCACCAGGGGTGTCTGCAGGGTGTGGTCAAGAAAGTCAAGGTGGTAAGCACAATGGCATGATCAAAGCTCCACCTACTTTTTATGTGTGTCATATGATGTGCTTAGGTTTTTGACCGCAACCTCCAGACAACTCTTTATTCCAGATCCATCGTTGGCTCACAGCGTCTCCACCTGCATGGTCTTTCAGACCCCAACTTCTCCCAGGTCATAGAGCTGAAATTCATTAACAGAATGTCCAGGGGGAGTGCGATTGTGATGGGATTTGGGGGAGTTTTTAGTTTTAGCTGGTTTAAAAACTGCCCAAGAAGTATGTTGATTCCTTCAGAAAGAAAAGGCACCATGTGTTTTATTCCCATTTACTCACAGATAAACACATTCTCTTGGCTCAGCAAAGCCAAAACATTTTTTTTTAAAGGAAAAGTACATTTCCCCCATTTAAAATGCTGCTTTTCTCAGGTTCAGAGCAGGTGGGTCAAATAACACTAATTCTTTAATTCTCCCTTTCCAGGTTTTTTGACTAGAGAAGGACCATCTGATTTCTTATTCCTCCTACTCTGTAAGGTTCCATTACATCATGAAGGTTAATCTCACTACTCTGGGTCTTTCCAATGCATCCCTGCTACCATCCTTGGAAACCAAGCCTGACGTGAGCAGGCTTATGGACATGCTTCAGGTCTTCTTCTATGGAGTTCTTTTTCTACTTGGTTCCCTTGGCAATGGAGCTGTGATCTGGGTCACAGTCCGCCAGGCTTCACGGACCATCAGCTGTGTCTGGTTCTTCAACTTAGCTCTGGCTGACTTTCTGTTCTCAGTCACCCGGATTGTGCCCCTCCTGAAGAATGCTTTTGATACAGGTTGGCCCTTTGGAAGTTTCCTATGCAAAGCCAACAGCTTCATCAAGTATCTCAACATGTTCTGCAGTGTCTTCCTCTTAGCTGCCATCAGCATAGACCGGGCAGCTTCTGTAGCCTACCCAATATGGTCCAAAAGGCACCGTGATAGTCGTTTGGCATGGATTGGTGCCATTGGCACTTGGTTCCTGGCCATTGCCACAAGCCTTCCTTTCTACTTCTACCGTGGCATAAAAATCGATAAGACTAACAAGACTAAGTGCTCCTTTGCACTGGAGGGAAATGAAACAGCAAAACTAGTCATATATATGCTGAGACTGATATGTGGGTTCTTGGCTCCTTTCATCATCATCGTGATCTGCTATGGCATCATCACTGCGATCCTGAGGAGACGACGGACTTCTCTCCGATCCAAGAGGCCCTTCAAGGTCATACTGGTTCTTGTGGTCACGTTCTTCCTTTGTTGGGCACCATATCACATCTTCCTCCTCCTGAAATTGGCAGAAGTGAGTGGCACAGCCATTTCTATTGGCTTCCCCCTCTCTTCCTTCCTGGCCTACCTCAACAGTTGTGCCAACCCCATCCTTTACTTTTTCATGGGCATGGACTTCCACAGAAAGCTGACGCTTTTCAACATAAGCGCTGCATTTAGGAGAATCTTGCTCGAAGACAGTGGCGCCTCACTTAGAAGACCGAGCAGATACAAGATGGAAACGGTCTCTTCCATTGAGGAGGTGGGTCAGTCTTCAGTGGTGTATCAGGTGCACTGTAAAAACTCAGCACTTCGAAGTTCAGCTTAGGAAGCCCATGTGGCTCAGGAACTCATGTGTGACAGGTGAAGAGGCCTTGTAGTCCAGCACATCAGGAAGACAGCAGTCTGATGGAGGCTGGATCAGTCACACCCATTGCCAGAGAAATACGAGGTTTCCTTTTCTGCTTTCATCCCACCCAACTCCACCACTGATATTTTCTGGACATTTTGAAACTACAAATATTTGTATGTGAGAAAGGAGTTTTTTCTTCCATCATGAACTGTGAAAGATTGGATGGTTTGCTCTATATTCCTCCAATACGTTATTTTTCTTTGAAGTCGATGGATAGGTATAAACTTCTGGCTAGATTTGTACAACTGTTTCTTTGAAAAGCTTATTCAACTGACTCTGATGTTAGCAGCTCTGTCTGAGGTGCCTTCTAATTTTAACCAAAGCATAAGCCATTGTGTAGCATTCTAAAATCAATGCTAAGGAAGCATAAAAATCGGTTGGATTTGTTTTAAATAAAGGGAACGTGTCCTTTTAGCCTGCGTGCTGTGACTGTGTGAAGAGCTTTACTATTTGCTAATGCAGAAAACCACTTGTAGGAAATCTGTTCCTTGTGTAGAAAATATAGAAGCTGTTTCTGGTGTAATGCGCTCTGAAGGATTTTCCGGTCGGGATCTTGCTTGTTTTACAGTACATTTCTACTCTTGTCTCTTAATCATATGCATCATTCGCAGGTTAAAGAGCACACATTGCAAAGGAGATGGAATGGTTTCTTTTTAGGCCTACCAAAATGGTTGCAAAATTCATTCAGTTACTAGAACTCCTTCTCGAAAGGTCCAATATTGTTCTCCCAGGAATTCTGCAGCCATCTTTTGCAACATTTCCCACCGCTCAGAAGAGTTTCTTCCCTTAACTTGATGGCCCAGGTTGCCCCCTTAATCCAAATTTCATGAGGTCAGTCCTGAGACATCGTGCTACCTCAGTGACCATGTTTTTAGCCTTTCATTTGTTGTGGAATTTTTGCCCAAGATAGGACCACAACGCTGAGGAGAAGAACCACGTTTATTGCAATGATAGTTGGGTGCCTGCTTTCAAGAAGGAGGGACCCTGAAGAGTAGAAAAGCATAGAATTTATACACTTTTGAGGTTGAGAGGTGGGAAATCTGAGGGATCTGA